GACATCACACGGCAGCAAACTAATCAAGCTAATTCTACCTTAATCAAGCTTAAAAACAATGGTTTAAGGCTGCCACATACCAGAATTTTCCAGCTAAAACCGGAGCTGCAGGGGGAAGAGAAGCCGGCGGCAATTTGGAGAAGAAGCTCACGGGTTCTACCCAAAAATTGAAGGAAATAAGAGCATTTAACTTAAACCCAAGGCAATTAAAGCTGAAGAAGGGAGATTCATGGCTATTTCTTACCAAAAACCCAAGCCAATTCGCCCCCACAAGGCAAGAACAGCCGGCGGTGAAGGAGCAGAGCAAGGCAGATCCGACTTTTCCAGCAGGGGAGGGAAGATTTCTGGGTTCTAGGTGTGTTCTAGAGCAAGAAGGAAGGAGAAATCTCCAAGCTTTCTCACTAGTTTCTCAAGCATGGCTGGGTTCCCCTTTTTTTTTTTTTTCGGGCGGCTGCAGCGGGAAGACAGAGCAGAACACGCGGGGAAGAAGAAGAAAAGAAAGAAAGAAAAAGGAGAAAAGAAAAGAAGTCATCCTTATCCAAAATCTTTCCCTCTTTAAGTCCCTCAACTTTTGAAATATTCACATTAGGCTCCAAAACAATCTTTTTTCACAATCAAGTCCTTAACTTACACTTCAATATTCCCGAAAATTTGGGATATTACACTTACCCCTCCTAAAAAGGAGTTTTGTCCCTAAAACTCATATTGAGGACCATATCAAGTGGTGAATGGCTTCACACAATCCAAGACAAACAAATGCCTCACTCACTTTCTATGAACAGACATGGCCTACTACGCTTCCGCTGCGCCACTCTGATATCAAATCACGACTAATCTTAAAAAGCAGAACACTAATCACTTAACATGATTTGCCATCAAATAAGCTACTGGAGGTTGCGGTAATACGGAAAGCACAAGGAATAAAAATAAATCCTGCCAAAGCCACAAAAGAACAATTGTGGGGTTACGCTACGAACCCATCACAAGACAAGTTGGCAAAGAATGGCATGGATTTAAAGATGAATACAACAAAACTTTGAACTCTATCAAAGACGGATAAGCATCCAACAGATATATGGATCATGAATGAATGAACGAGTGCATGGATGCCTTATACATTTTGCCACAAAACAAGATTAACCAATAGGCAAGGTCATATTTAACAAAGCAATTGGAATCAAGAAACAAATTTTAGCAATTAACAAGAGTTAAAAGCTAAGACCATCGAAAGACATGGAAGACTCTCAAGAATTGCAACAGAATAAAATCAATAGAAAATATGAATGCTTGGAACATAAGAGTGCAAGGTAGAATGCCTCAAAATTCAACAACAAAATGGCATTCACCAAGAATCAAGATCAAATTTAACCAAGCAGTCAAAATTGAGAGACGAGCTAATCATGAAACAAGCAATAGAATTTCAAAAAATTAAGCCCACAAGAGATTCCAATAATGACAATCAGAACACGGATTCAAGAGCAGATATAATTAGAATGTCAAGATCTAGCACTTCAAGTACTAGAATTAATTAACAGAACAAAGCAATGGCTGGAATCAAGATGCTTAGAAGATTCATGTCTTCTAATTAAAAGGGCAAACAAAAATCCAAGCAGCCAGATCAAGGAACCATTTCACTTGGAACAAAACTCTAGGACATCAGGTATTTCAAAGACTACCCCTTCACCTTGTAGCTCATGGAGGCTAAACAGATTTACAATCAAATCATTCTAGAGTCAAGTCAAAGTTAAGGCATCAAGAATACAGAGATTAACACTTGCAAGAGACAAGAATTTAGAATACCTCATATAGGTATCTTCTGATAATCGTCACCCCTCCTAAAGAGGTGTCCATATGAACAAAAACCAAGAATCAAGAAGATCAACAGGTATACTGAAACAAGAACTAGCAAAATATTCAAGATTCAAGCAAGAGCAGTATACAAAATTTGAACAAGAGCAGAGTCAGAACAAGAACGTTTCCAAGGACAATTCAAAATAGATTTCAAGAACAGTGCAAGAATTAATTTCAGACAACTATCCAGATAATGAGGATTTCAATAATCATTATCCATTTTTGGATTTTAGTTTCAAGAACAAGTACAAAGCAATCTCAAGAAAGATTCAAGATGGATTTCAAGAGTTTCAAGCAATTTCCAAGTATCAAGAATGTAGAGATTGGCAGCAATAGAGAGTTTAACTTTATGACAACTTGCCAATCTTCACAAAAAGACAACAATTTCAATTGAATAATCACTGCTCTTGATTAACTAATATAGAAAAATGAGCCACATGAAAAGACCACGAAGCTCCAAATGGAAAAAGTGAAACTTCACTACAAGACTTTCAGAAAGATAAGGAGCAACGGAATTACCAAGTTATCCAGCTCCTAAAACGTAGCTAGAAAACACACAACATTTGCTAAAATAGCCTGGAATCTCTTGCAAAGTAGAGGGTTTACCCATCCTCCACTGGTCATGTGACAAACAGAACAAACTTCTCAACCAGCTAGGCTGTAGAGACCAACAAGATCAATAACAAAAGATTTTTACAACTCCCCAGATTTCAACATTGTGGCAAAAGAGCATACGAAAATTCTATTCACGTGACAAGTCTAAACAAGTGCAGACTATCAGAAATGACCAAGTTTCAAAACAAGGTCTTCAGGACATAACGAGCAAGATTACTTTCACAACTTCACACAGAGTATAAAGGCAGGAAACAAGAACAATCAGATCACCATCTCATCGAAATGGATGAGAAAATTCAGGCAACATGAATCAGAATTGTCCCTTATATAACCCCATCACTCGTCTCACCACGGGTCTACAATCCACTGGCTAGCCAAGTCCAAAACAAATCCTAGGTATTCAATTAAATCTAAACTCGATATCACTCAATCTGCTCTAATGCCACTCAATCTGGAGGTGCTTAATTTAATCTTAAGCTCTTAATTTAAACTTAAGCTCTTATACCACTCAATCTCCAGATATCTAATTTAACCTAAGCTTTGATACCACTTTATCTTAATCAAACCTATGCTCTGATACCACTAAATCTGTCACGCCCCAAAACCCAATTTCGAGACGCGACAGACGCCGTGCACTCGTGAGACGGGTCCCACAAATGCACAAGGCTCGGAACTTATCACAT